GCGAACACATCGTCATCGTAAAACCACCAAATACAACACACCATCGTCACACGTTATCGTATCAAGCCCCCACCCTTCCCCACTGCTTCCATAGCCACAACGAAGACGAAGACTACGGAGCGTTAAATCGGACTCCTTTCCAGCCCTACGCACAGCAACAGCCCGAGCCGGGCCAGCACCCGGTACAGGCATGCAGGGAGCGGCTGGGTGCCCCAAGACAAACATTATAGGTTCCTGTGCGCACCATTCCTGTGTGCATGTATTCTTCGATACATGCACACACCAGATATCTTGCACATTTCCCCAAGCACGTTTAGACTTAAATGCGTGCCATCACCTCAAGCTCTTTATTTGGAACGACTAGAAAGGCCTCAGATAGTAAAGCCCCACCAAGCCTAAGCTTGCAGCTATAGGTATTTACCGAGAGGCCGGGATATTTCCACGACAAGACATCTGATGAACATGCAATGATCATAACACTGAACTGAGAAAAAGCAGCCTGCATGAGAACATTTACATGATGTGTTGTCTGTGTAACTGCCCAACTTGCCGTTCCATGACCTCAACTTGACATGACATGTTCCGCGACCCAGCACTCAATTTTGCTCGACGTAGTCCTGCGGACTGTGCGGCGCACCAGTCAGTCATGAATGCTGACAGCGCCTTGTCCCATGTCGGGTCATGCTTAGGGTGATCGTCCAGATCTTGAAGAATGAACGTCTGCATCTTGCCTAGGAGATCCGACATGGTGTTCCTTAGGAGATCCGACAAGATCCTTTATCGCAGCAAGTGGTCCAGGGATTGGCACAGAAACTCCAGTTTGGCTTTAAGGGAATGTTCCACATTTGGAGATATTTAAGAAAGTATCAGATATGATGAAAAATATCACTTATAACTACTGGTCTCTCTGAAGTGGAAAAGGCTGTTCTAGAGAACACAGTTTCCCTGTTAAGTAAATATAGTTATCAATGGGTCATTGCTTGATTACCTCATCACACCTTGCCCAACATTGACTGAGAGTCTATAGACGGCCGTTTTATCTATATCGTAAATGAGCTTAACAACTATATTTTCCTGGCCTTGATCGCTGCATGGCAAACGGAGCGGCAGGAATTGAAGACGTTGCCATGGCGTCATGGATGCTTGGAAGACCTTGAAATAGTATCCCCGAAATAGTCTGCACATCTTCGCGGGTGTGTTTTAAATAGTCTGCACAAATCATCGTCGCTCAGAAACTAGAGGGGTTTAAATCTTGAGAAGGACAAGACTGTAAACTGCACTAAATAATCTTCAAGATCGTGATTTCAGTTCGAAAACCCATACAAATATGGAACACTCCCTTTGAAGGCCTCTTAGCTGGAGTGGGGTGGAGTGCTCTTCCCCCTTCCATTCTAGAGCCACTGAATAACACGGGGTCCCTCCATTGTTTCATTGTAGGCTCATCGTAAGCTCTTATATCTCCTTTAATTTTCAGAGCGCCCCAAATCTGGCCTCATCGCCGGTCCCGCTGAGCCCGAAGGGCCCCTCGGAACCTAAGGGACACACGCACCCCCTGTGACCCTCCCCCCCCTCCCCCACTTGCATCACTGGTCGCAGAGCTGACATGCTGACGTGCTGACACATCGTTCCACCAGGGCGCATGTTAGTGCCCTGGCCGATGATGAGTGTGTGGGACAGACGTGATCTAAGGCCGAAATATCATTTAGGTATGTGAGGGGGCCTGGATTGAGCCTGGAATGTGTGCCCCTTCTGTCTAACTTTTGGAAGATGCCCAGTCCGCTTTGCAAACGGTCCACCTGAAAAAAACAATTTAAGTCTATTTGTCCTGAATGGACTTCTAAATTTATGTGAATCGGATACTGGTCACTAAAAAGCGGGCCAGGGTGGCCCTTGTGTGCAAAGTGATGCAATATGTGGTGTTGCCAATGTTAGATCTAGAACAGAGCATGTCACTGTGCTTCCGTGGTGATGTGTATGTGTGAGCCATGTGTGGGCGTATGTTGGTGCATATGAGGTCAGGAGTGTCCGTGAGCATGAAGAACGTGCCCCTTTGGTTGTGTCATGTTCGAGGCGACAGGATTCTCATGAGTAAAGCAGAAAGATCGCCTGAGAGGACAAGAAGCGTGAGACTGAAGTGCACAGAAAGAAGAATCAGATCTAACTGTGCTTATTCTACGTTCTCTGCCAGCAGGTTGGAATGAGCTTAGCTTGATGACGCAAAGGTTATTTGGGACAAACAAAGCCGAACGGTCTCCGTGCGGGTTTCGTCTGGGTTATTTGTATGAAGGTAGTAGCCGTTTATATTCACGAAGCAACTGTAAAACTCTGAGTCGCCAAAAAGGGTCTCTTGAATGGTGTTTTTCAATGGTCTGCTTTTATCATAACTTATTTTATACCAGAGGTGTACTCCATCGCAGCAGGCATTTACCGAATTTTGCGGTCTCCTTTAGAGAGGGGAGGGAGACCATCCCGCGGAGGGGCAATGAAACGGCGGTCAGGGGGCGGGGCGACGGCGGGAGCGCGTAACGCGTCAGGCTCGCTGATCGCAAGAGGGACTGGCCCGGAGGGTGGGCTGATGCCGGGGCCCGGCGGCCGAGGCGTCAGACGTCGGGGCGTCCTACGACGCCAGTATGGGTAGGGGAAACCAACACCGACGTGCTGGGGTGAGAGAGAGGCTCTCTGTGTCGGGTGGAGCGGGCCTCCCCTCGGGGAGGCTCGTAGTCACCGGGTTCGCCTCAACTGGGTCAGTCGGTGCGGGCTCGATCGGACGCCGCACTGGACGCGGCTGGCCTGAGGAGGGGCGGCGCTGGGAAGGAGGGAGGCTGCCCTGTGGTAGAGCGCTGACTCGGCATCTCAGACTCCTCGAGATGGGCCCGAGGCCCAGGCCAGTACGGCGGGGGGGGGGGGGCAGACGCATGCTCTCGCATACGCCCTGTTCGGTCAGCTCCTCCAGCAGCTCATGCACTGCATCACTGTTTCGTATTCTTGCCAAATCGCTTCATATCAGTCTTGTTGACAGCTAGGCTTCGAGGCTGGGCATGATTTCCGTGCCCCCTAACCTCTATGGCCACGTCCTTGGCGCGAGGGCGGGCGATCCGGAACCAGTGATTTCTGCGAGCGCTTGTAACAAATAACAGACGGCACCATCCATGTCGGCACAGCCCACAGAGTTGGCTAAGTCGGTACAATCCAGACTTCCTGACCAATGACTTTGGTATGGCGTATGGAGGGGCATAAAAGCATCCCATTAGGCGACTCAAACTTGACATTACTGAAAATGACTAAGACAATACCTTGATCATTGCTGACATCATGACGAGATTTGTACACGCAAGGATGCAGACTTTTTCTTGCTGTCCCACAAAACTAAACGACCCTTATCACGTGTGCTCTGGACCCGCAGCTGTTTTAGGCTTTTGACGATTTTAAAGGCATTCTGGCGACCTCACCACATCATTAGCAATGTGATAGCTGTCATCCCAACGAGTTCTGAGTGACATCGATAAGGGCTATCGATCAAGGACTGAGTGCCAGCGATCGGACAATGATATCCGGAGATACCATGGGGTTTCTCCCACCACTAAGGTCGTCATGAGCGGTGAAACACCAACCGCGGTGCAGCTGGGAGCAGCACAGAACGCTGCGCCGACAACATGAAGTCCGATGGTCACACGAGTCGCGTGACTGCATTCGCACCTCCCCACCCTGTGCGGCAGAGTCTCTGCTCGTCAGCTTCTGGGGCTGCACCGGCGACACGAGTCCGATGGTCACACGAGTCCGCGTGACTGCATTCGCACCCTCCTCACCCTGTGCGGCAGACAGTCTCTGCTCGTCAGCTTCTCCGGGGCTGCACCGGCGACACGAGTCCGATGGTCACACGAGTCCGCGTGACTGCATTCGCACCCTCCTCACCCTGTGCGGCAGACAGTCTCTGCCCGTCTGCTTCTCCGGGGCTGCACCGGCGGGCCGCGCGGAGCCCCCATCTACAGCTCCCGGGCCGACACTCACGCGTCCAGCACCGACCGGCCTGTATTGAGCGCCACTCGGCGGGGTCACGCGTGACTAGCGGGCTGCGAGATCACCCGTCCGCCGGCGGCGCGGGCGCGGGTCGCCAAACGCGCTCGCGGGCGGACACCACCGACAAACACTACCGCCGCCGTCAAACGCGAGCAAGCGGCCGAGACCCACACGCACAGACACCTCGGCGAACGCAGGGCGCCCGCCACTGCGGAGTGCTGCCGTGCGTTTTAAAATATAATATACTACAGCGACGCATGTAAAATGCGGCGCCGTGCAACTCAAATCTACGTGGATCACGAGCGACAACCACAACAGTGAACGGCACGACGAAATGTCACGGACGCGCCAATCCTGACTACAATATCGGCGCACGCTGACTAGCTGTGCAGCCGACCACGGCTTTTGAAGCATCACGTCCACCTGGGTGGCGTGCGCCGCGGCCCGGGAGCGCCGCAGCCGCACTCTGCTCATGGCAGCGCCGGCGTGGCGCCAGCGGCGGTCGCGCCGACCGATGCCGCGTAGCTCGGGCGGGACCGGGCCGAGCACGCCGCCGCTCGCAGTGACACAACGTCCTAACAACGGTACAACGACCACACCGCTTGGTAACATGATAGCAATACGTAAAACTAACACAAAGCCGGCTGGTATGTGACTGCGATATCGTTTAGCCTCGTCAGCGCCGTGCGTCGAACCATGGTATCACATGGTAGGCAACACTGAAATAATTCATGATAAAATGAGCATGCGCAAAACACTTACGAAGGTCTACTAATCACGGCGGGGGTAACGGTTTCTGAGTAAACTCACAAACAGCTCACAATGGCAACAAGAGCCACGCAAAACATCTGCGAAGGTCCACTAATCACGGCGGGGGGGGGGAAGCTTGCTGAGTAAACCCACATACAGACGGAAGCGTACCCGGATGTCGCGCCTCGTGGTTGGGTCGAGTGAAAATTCGCGCATCTTCGACAGACCCGTCGTCAGCGCCTCTGGCAGACAGTGGCTGGCACGGCGCCACAGCAAGTACGCATACACATATACGATGCTGCCGGGGAGCTTTGGCGTATCGATTGCTGTGGTCATCAAGCGCTCTCCACCCCCCCCCCCCCCCCCCTCCCCCCCATCATTTCCTCCGCACACAAAAGTACAGACGAGTATCTAAAAAACTGACCAAAATCATGCGTCCGGCACTGCACGCCATCGCCGCTGTGTCACTGCTGCCTCCCGGGCCCACTGTGGCACCCTCCCGCACACCTCCGGGCGCGACGCGGAGGCGGCGTCGCCCCCTCGGGCCTACCGGCGGCTCCACACCGCCGCCGGGCTTCTCCCGGCCGCGTCCCTCCGTCGCGCGCGCGGACCCGTCGGCCTCGCTCGGCGCCGAGCGCGCGCCCTCCGCGCCCGGCCGCCGGTGGCCTACATCCGCGCCGTGGCGCCGTACTCGCGCTCGCGCTCGGCCAGCCGGCGGCGCGTGTAGACGACGCGCCTCTCGCCCGGCCGGATCAGCTGATCGCGCCGCTGCCACTCCAGCTCCTGCTCCTCGGCGCGCCGTCGCTTGGCGTCCACATAGCTGAAGATGCAGGAGGCCGGCACCCAGATGATGATGCTGATCACCAGCACGGTGCCCACGATGTTGTCGCGAAGGAAGCGCAGTACCTGCGGTGCAGGCCGTGGTCGCTGTCAGGACCACGGTCAGGGCCACAGCACGGTCGGGGTTCGGACCGGGCGGCAGGCAGGCCAGCCTTTTGATGCCAAGGAGATCAGCAACGCAGGAGTCAACGGGATCAACACGTCGGGGGTCACGGGAGTCAACCGGCCACTGGCTCCAACGTATATTACCGAAGAATTACTTTTCTAGTGACCTGTGGTAGCGACTGATGGCAAACCGTTGCCATCAGTGACCATATTTTTACACTAATAGGCGCAGATTCTGCAAACAGTCCCTTTACTCACGAAAGGTACTGAACGGTATACCTTATTGATGTTGATGTCTTCGATGATATCCCAGAATCGCTCCACCACGTCCTGTACAGTTTTCTCGCAAACACCCTGCAACAGGTTAAACATCGTGTTTCACATTCTGACAGCGCCACGTCACCACAGTGCCACGTTAGCCGGCGTTCAGTTCACACGTGCTGGACACACATACGTTGATAGTTAAGAGGTGATGATACACCCAGCTGTTTCACCCGGTGGTCCACACAAGACCGCCACACAGCAACCATGCGCTACTCCTCGCCCGTTGACCCCGGTGCCTTTGCCGCGGCCGCGCCGCCGACAGCCGCGCCGGGCCCCGGTCGGCGGCGCGTCGAGGGCCGGCCTGCCCGCTCACCGTGTTGGTGCAGAAGCCGTGCATGCACGGCGTGCCGCCGGACAGCATGCGCACCGGCTCCTGGGCCGTGCACGTGTCGTTGAGCGAGCGGCGGCAGCAGAGGTTGCACGCGTCCTCCTCGACGTCGCACATGCAGCTGTGCTGGTCCTGCAGTTCGCAGAAGGCCACGCACTTGCCGGCGCGGCAGCGGCCGCCGTGCTCCTGGCACTCGGTGTCGTCGCCCATCGGCGCCGACGGCGGACACTCGGCCGACGCGCCTGCGCACGGCCGGCGGCGACAGTCACCTCGGGAGACGGGGTGCGCGGCCGGAGACGGGGGCGGGGGCGGGGGGCGTCGGCGCGCGCGCGCACGGCGCCGTCCGCGCCGCACGACCGTTACGGGGAGTGCCCCCGGAGACACGTACAGACGCGGACGCACGGGCAGTTCACGAGGAGCTGCAATGACACCCGCCCACGACTTATTCAGAAAAGCGCACGGTGTCGGGCTGGTGACTGACGCACCCGATTCATACACGCACACACACGGGCACGCTGACGATCGGGCCGCGTTAGTAAAACAACCTGTTTAACCTAAATTAAGATGAGGACGCGGGGTAGGCTGCAATACCTTGAGTACAGGACTTAACTTCGCACTCCAAAAGTTTAATCGGTACCACTCCCAACACTTTGTCCTGAGCATTCACTCATTTATGAGCACTTCACCAGGAGATTGTTTGCAGCAGCCTTTCACCCCAGCCCGTGGAGCTACCTGGACAGTGTTCCCCGCCTCACCGTTGCACTTGGCCTCCATCTCGCACGTGTGCAGGCTGGCGTCCCGGCACTTGACGCCCATCTGTAGGTACTGACAGCGGCTGCAGCAGGGCGAGTTCTTGTCGCTGCAGACGGCGCCACGCTTGCGGCGCAGCTGGCAGTTTTTGTCGCAGCACGCGTCCTCGTCCTCGGAGCCCACCAGGCCGGCGTCGCACTCCTCGTCGCCCTCGACGCGCAGGTTGCCGCAGAACGACTCCTCCGGCTCGGTGAAGCAGCGGGAGGACTTGGCCACCAGCACGGCGCGGATGGAGCGCAGAGAGCACGGCGAGAAGCGCTGCCGGGGGAGCGGCGGGCGAGCACTGAGCCGGCGCGCGCGAGAGGGACGAGCCCGACTCCGACTCATCGGTCACGAGTCTGACTCTGACTCTCCGACCCACGAGTCTGGCTGACTCACCGGGTCACCAGTCTGAGTCTGACTCGCTGGGTCACCAGTCCGACTCTGACTCGCCGGGTCACCAGTCTGACTCTGACTCGCCGGGTCACCAGTCTGACTCTGACTCGCCGGGTCGCGAGTCTGACTCTAGCCCGCCGGGTCACGAGTCTGAGTCGGACATTCGCGGGAGCGCGAGACATGGTTCACCTGACGCCAGTGTGACACGCACAACATCACGCAGCACTGTTGGTTTGGAAACGAGCCGAGGACCAGAGAGAAAAAGGGCCGAGTGTATGTCCAGAGCATCATGACGGGTGATACCGCACACACCAGACATGGCAAACATCAGGAAACCCAACCGAGAGAACGGCGCATGCGGCCGATCGCAGAAGTACGCACCTTGTTGTTGAGGTCGTAGCCGGACACGGAGTATGTGTACATGAGGTAGGAGCCGCCCTTGTTGGCGCTGGGCGAGCACTCGGGCAGGTCCGGGTCATGTTCACTGCCCCAGTTGTGGCCGAACTCGTGGGCCGTCACCAGGTCAGCCTCGCTGTCGGTCAAGATGGCTGCTGGTGAGTTCGGCCGGAGGGGACGGGTCCCAGGTCATGCAGCTCAGCACGGCCCCCGCCGCGGACAACGGCGTCCCATCGTGGCCCAGTGGTCGCCAGGCCGAGCGCACGGGGAACGATAGACTGACTGACTGACTGCCTGCCTGACTGACTGACTGACTGACTGACTGACTGACTGACTGACTGACTGACTGACTGACTGACTGACTGACTGACTGACTGACTGACTGACTGACTGACTGACTGACTGACTGACTGACTGACTGACTGACCGACTGACTGACTGACTGACTGACTGACTGACTGACTACCGGGACATGGTTTTGTACGGAGGTCACCGGGTCAACCATCAGAGACGAGTCATAGGCAGACACCAGGCAGACACAATCGGTCAGGTCCCATCCGATCGCCGGAAAAGGGCGGACCGGGGGGGGGGGGGGGGGCTTAGGGAGGACAGTGGGACCCAGCTGCTGTACAAGGAGGAACAGTCCCGTGACCCAGTGACCGCCAGCCCAATGATGCGGTACATTAGTCTGGGGCGTGTCCAGTGACGGTGGCGGCCAGCGGCAGACTGACCGGGTGATGACCCGCTGGCCGTAATGGTTCCGCGACGAGCTCAGGCCCGAGTTCAGGTACAGCGTAAAGCCGTTCTTAAAGTATTCTGAAACAGCAGAAAACATTTCAGGGGCAAGCAAATGCAGCACGGGGCTTACCAGGTCAAATGCAGTTACATAAGACAACCCACGCCAAGCAGACATGCAAAGCGCACAGGCGGACGCGATCAATGACACTGGAGCCTGTATAGACCAGACGAAGCTGCGACCATGTTTTGTGTCTGAGGCCCTGTGTCTAAGGTGAGAAAAGGTCCCGAATCCCGTCCAAAAGCCGGTCACATCCCGTCGCCGGCCGAGCGCCGAGAGCGCACGCCCGTGAGGAAGGTCGACGGCAGCCGACTGGCCCTCGTACCGGGCGTGCAGATGCCGCCGACCGAGTTGCGCCGCGGCGAGCCGACGTACGCCAGCCCCAGGATACCGCCGTCGAACCGGATGTCGGTGAAGAGGTGCGCCAGGCAGAAGTCCTCGTGCGAGGGCTCGCGGCTGAACACCTGCGGCGGCGGCGGCGGCGCGATCAGCGTCGGAGTCGGGCGCCCGGCCGAGGGGCGGCCTCAGGTCACAGGCTGGGGAAGGTGACGCAGCCCAGCCAGGCGCACACCGGCATGTTTTGGGCGGCATTCTATACACACGTACTATGCGAATGGAGAAACACATCTGTGATTAAATAACACACGAGAAAACAACTAAGGCGCAGGTAGGTTACGCGATGACCCGCGCTAAAAACACAAAACCTGCAACCGTTCGGCAAACAGATAACTGCAAAAGCAGAAGCAAAACGAGTATAGCATTTTTCTGACAAAAACAAAACGCCTCACATGAGCCGCTGCTGTTCAGCATCCCGTCGTCAGTCCTCACAACAGTCAGTCGGTGACCGTCACCTATGTCACCGGGTCGCTCGCTGTCGTTCGCTGGATGTGACAACAGAGCTCATGGAGTCGTTGCGTCTGGTCCGCCAGAGAAGGAGAGTCAAACGAGACTGCTATCCACCCCTCAGCCAGTAACGGCAAGACGAACCTCCGCGGCCTGCGAGACTTTGGTTCAGTGCGGATACGCTTTCAATACGCCATCAGTACTGTAACTGTCTCTTATCTACTAGCCCCTTTCCGCACAATTTTCTGCTCATTGAGTCGGGTTGCAAAGCTATAGTGATGCGTTGGGAAAGTGTAAACCAATCTTGTCGAAAAAGCTACTGGAACTATTTTAAAAATCATGACATTAGGCGACTGCTGCCTTTTTTCAAAACAACAGACACGTCAAGCCTTCAGTTACACCTAACAAAACAAGTCAGCAAGCATCCACGCGTCGCTAATAAAACCAGCCGTACAGGTCGACAGCTGCCCGGACCGGTGATCATCCCGGCCACCCGGGCGTGCTGCCAGGCCGCTGACCAGGCCCCCATTCCCACCTCCAGCAGGTGGCGCACGTCCCAGCTGCCCGTGTCCATGTTGTAGTGCTCCTGGCCGCGCGTGACAGGCGTGTGCGCGTTGTGCACCAGGATCTTCTTGATGACGAAGCCCATGGCCGAGAGGCCGTGGTCGCCGGCCCGGTCGGCCCACACCGTCTCACGGTAGATCTTGTCCACGCGGTCGATCAAGCTGATCTGCAGGAGTCGGGTCAGGTCACGCCGCTGTGCGGCAGCCGCGCAAACGCGTCATTGGGGTCACCGCTCTTACGCAAAATAAAACTCAAACATGCGTTGCATCCTGTGAATGAAATTCAGGTACTTCGGCAGGTCTGTCATGCATACGCATGTCACGACAAGCATTAAAAAAATCTTCACTAAATCGAGGTACGTAAGCATTTCAGTGTGGCACCGGGGAGGGGCTGGAGAGGATGCTGTTCCATGTGATGTTTCCTTTGTTCATGTTCACGTATCATCAGAGGTCTATTCATTTTGTTATTTCTTTTCCCCTCCAGTCATTTTAACGTCCCGGTTATTTTACCTATTTTCGTATCATTTCACGACGCATGCGATCGTCACCTCTGTAAATGTCGACAACTTTACGTCGGTTACATCCGGTGAAAACAAAGCATTCATCTGAACGAGTTTAAAGCTTTGCTGTGGCCGCAAATGTGCCGAAGCTATCTTCACCGGATCAGCTCAGGTGATCACCCACTTAATGGCGTGAACAACAATATTCAATAGTTACCTATCTCCCAGCGCAACGCACCAGTGCGGAGATGAATCTCAGCAGACGTCGGAGATGGTCATAGGAAAGGATGCACGGAAGGATCCCGTCCGCTCCACACCCACGGGATGGCCTGGAAGAAGAGGGAGAGGAAGCGCGCTCCACATGATGCAACGCTCTGGCAGCACGGAAGGATCCCGTTCGCTCCACACCCACGGGAAGGCCTGGAAGAAGAGGGAGAGGAAGCACGCTCCACATGATGCAACGCTCTGGCAGCACGGAAGGATCCCGTTCGCTCCACACCCACAGGAAGGTGTGGAGTGAGGCACAGCACGCCCCACATGATGAAACGCTCTGGCAGCATGGATGCCCGTCCGCTCCACATCTACAGGAAGGCCTGGAGGGAGAAGCAGCACGCTCCACATGATGCAACGCTCTGGCAGCGACGCCGGTATCACAGCGTTAAACATGCATGTGGACAGCAGGCTTCAGAGAAAAGCATGCCAAGCCCGTCAGCTAGCACGTGAGCGACAGCGGGTGGTGTGTTTGGCGCCGGACGTGCGGCCCATGCTTGAGCATTATACCAGGTAGTTGATGGTGGTCTTTGTGCTGCTTCCACCCATGTCCTTGTAGAACCTGTAGTCCGCCACCAGCAGGAGCGGGCACCTTGTCTTCAGCATGTTGAACGTGTAAGCCTCTGTCGTCTGCCGCTTGGCCCTCACATGCGGCCCGTCCTCCTTACTCCACTCGGGGCCTGGCATAACCGTATGGGCTTAGACACGCGCCGCACTCCAGCTGAGCCCACGTAACCATGTGGCGGAGTTACACATGAACCGTTCCTCATACCAAAACAGGGTGCTGCAGCGAGTTTCAACAAGAACACAAGGTACATTGTGAGTGCCTTCCCCAATCCCAGGAATTGGCTGTGCCTCGCCAACAAATCTCGGGTCATCGGCTGGTCCGAACGGACCGTCCACCCCTTGAATGAAGACAAGCGCACCTAACCCCCTGCCGACAGACGGGCGCCTCGTCGGCGGGCGGGGCCGCCGCCGGCGTCGTCGGCCTCACCGGTGGCGTTGCCGTCCTCGCGGACGTAGGCGCAGTGGGAAGTGGGCGGCAGGTGCGACGCAGGCGTCTCCGGCTCCTCCACGTCCGAGCCGCGGTACGTGATCATGCGGCTGCGCTCCGGGTCGTCCATGTGGCGCCAGGCCGGCTGCGGCGGCGCGCGGCGGTGGTCAGGGGCGACGGCGCGCGCGACGGAGCGGCGGTCGCCGGCGAAACGCGGCTGCCAGCGCGCGCGGAACCGAGGCCCGAGCTGGCTGGCACGGGTGCGCGCACCACTGGGCGGACTAAGGGCCTACTCGAGCGTTCGGCTCGGCCAACACGAAGTGCGCGAATGAAGACGTAAGAATGTTGCGGCGGCAATCAGAATCTGTGTTACGGAAGGATTGCGGCGAGCCATTAGTATCACACACGGAAAAAATTGTTCCGACTATCGTCCTCGTCTACTGTGCTACTACCTTGATGCGTTGCGTACATACTTACAAACCAGACGAGAATGGTAGTCCGAACAATTATTTCATCCGTGGAGTTACTCCATGGACGAAATAATATATTGTCTGTATAATTTGATTGTTTGCATGAAATCCAGAAGCATGCTCACAGCTGCGAAATTTGGTGTGTTCGTATTCGCTTCCATCCTTAACTTGGTCTGGTTACCGTGGTTACACCCTAACCTGGAAGTGGCGCCCTGGTTTTCTAATAGCATTGATAGGTGGTTTCAAATATATCTCCATGTGGTGGACGTGCCACTTGGTCCGCACTCAATACACGTGGTGAACAAGTCACATACATCCACAGGTTTACTATTACTGCAACGTAGTGGGAGATTGGTGGGTGCAAGCTCACACGTAACACGTGACATACCTCTTCCTTGTACGCGCGAACATCGTCATCGCTGGACGCGCTCTCGCCTTGACAAATAGGCGCCGTATCTGGCTGCACCTTCACCTCGATGCAATGAGCTTCGATTCTGGATGCACGCTCACCGCGGCAAATAGGTGCCGTATCTGGCTGTACCTTCACCTCGATGCAATGGGCGTCGATTCTGGATGCACACTCACCTCGCTGGCACACGCGTCTTCCCTGAACACGCGCTTACCTTGCCATCCTTGGGTGCACGCTCACCTCGTTGTCCTTGGCTGCACGCCCACCTCGCCATCTCTGGCTGCCACGCTCACCTCGCCATCCTTGGCTGCACGCTCACCTCGATGTGATAGGTGTCTTCCTTGGTGCGAACGGTGGCCGTCATCACGCCGTTCTCCAGCTGTACGCTGGCATCCGATTCGGTCTCGCCGAACACGCGCCCCTCGTACAGCTCCGAGTCTTCCGGATCTGGGGGACCACGCGGCGGCGTCGGCCCATCCGCTCCACAGGGGACGTCATGGCTGGTCTGTGCGTGTGTATCGTGCGTGAGATGTCGGCATCGTCGGTCCGCACGCTCCACAGGGGGACGTCATGGCTGGACTGTGCGTGTGTATCGTGCGTGAGATGTCGGCATCGTCGGTCCGCACGCTCCACAGGGGGGAGCCATGGCTGGTCTGTGGGTGTGTATCGTGCGTGAGATGTCGGCATCGTCGGTCCGCACGCTCCACAGGGGGAAGCCATGGCTGGTCTGTGGGTGTGCATCATGCATGAGATGTCAGCATCGTCGATCCATCCGCTCCGCAAGGGGACATCATGGCTGATCTCTAAGTGTGCATTGTGTGTGAGATGTGGACATGTCATTTGTCATCTGGGTTGGAAGGACTCACCCAGGTGATGAAGCTTCTCTGCTCCATTCTCATCAACTTCATATGCTTTGAACTGGCTGTGCAGGAGGTGCTTCCGTGGTGTGAGCACAAGCCTGAACTCCCTGAAAACATTGGCAACCAGTTGAAAGCCATGGAATGTTTTCAGAGCATTCTTGCCAGACATTACCTTTGCAGCACCACAATGGCTCAAAACATTGGCTGTCTTTTGGCTGTCTTTACACCAAAATCTGTGCCAACTGAGTTCTGAACTCTAGACATCCAGCTCTCAGATTTATGACAAGGCATTCTGCACTGCAGATTCATGATGTGTGCTAAAATTGATGGCAAGAGATTTATCTGCTCTGTCAGATGTATCATAAGCGCATGTTTTTGCAGTCTAATCCACAGTGGAAAATAATTTTCCAACATAGAATGCTTACACAATATGTTGTGCAGGCAACAGGCACTCTACACTGAACATGGTGATATAAAATGTGCAAAAATATTTCATAGTATTTTAAATCCATGCTTACCTCCCAAGAGTCTTGAATGTAACCTCTTTTATTTTGTTGAATGGATGAGGACTGCTGTTGATGCCCCGCTTCACTATTGTGTGACTGAGCTCAGAAGCATGCATGAGTTGATGATACCTCAGGCGTGGTAGGCGAGAGCCTAAGGACACAACAATCTACAAGTTTTTGACCAGCACAGCTAGGAAAATAAAGCATCATCTGAAAATTACACCTCACAAACACAATTTTAACAACATGAGATTCTGACACCCATAATACTACCAAAAACTCCATTCTTAAAAAGCAACCACAAGAACTATCCTAATATGCTTTATATTCCATCTTTGTAACCATAAATATCACATAAGTATTTAAAAGACTTGTTCCCAAGTAACATCCTATCATGTTATCATAAATATATCACCAGATAGAAGATCAAAATCCCAGAATACTGAAACCTTAACAAATTCACATGAAGCTAAAAGGCAAGATTAAGAGCAAGGCATTCAACAAATTCACCATTTTTTTGACAGCCAAGGCAGTTGCAACAGCCTTACAACACCCCTTGTCACAGAAAATACTAGGTAAGCAAATACAAAAAATAGAGCATACCTTGTCCACCAGCAAGACACATAACCAAGAATAGGGCATTGATCAGAGGCATCCTTACAGCTGTTTTATTTTGAACACAAAAATCTTCAATTAACAGCCTCTACAATGGACCGCATGCTCCTTCACCTGTAGGTAACATAAAGGGCAACATTGTAAGAACAATAAGCAATAAGAACAATAAAACAACAATGTAAAGAACAATTGTGCTCATTCTTGTGATTTTAGAGCAAAGTAAGGGCAACATGAGCTTAGAATATCACAATCCTCTTCTCAACCCTTGAACTATCCCAAACCTCAGTCACTGGCTTTCTCACCTATGACTCATCTACATCCTGAACGCATAGGGCTTAAAAATGGTCATCACAATGGTCAAATCGATCAAGTGCCAGGGGAGTGACGCAGTCCAAGCTGCACACAAAATCAGGTACGTGGGACAAAATCCGGCGGAACCATTCGGGTTTGGGATTACCAATAAAAGGGACCACGCTCAATTCTTAATTCGCTCACTACTTGGTGATATTTGTTATCAATCTTTGCAGTTTTTGAGTCGTATAGGTACTTACCGTAAGTCATGTAGATTCGGGCCGTCAACCACTCATAAAATAAAACTAAAAACACACCACACCTGGCCCCCCGCTCCCTCGATCCAGCGCAAAAACAACACCCGCCGGATTTCCTTGTTTACAAAACCGCGTTTATCGGGGATTTGGGTGCCTAAAGAAAGAAGACCTCATACAAATTTATAAAACTATAGCCTCCGACAAAACTTGTCGCCGGGCTATTTATGTTCGCTCACAGAAAAGCCAGAGAAAAAGTACTTAAAAATTATTTCTATCGGATTTTTCCTGTTTTTATATTAATTTGGTAATATTTTAGATAAAATATAAACTACCACTTTATGTCCCTGGTGGAGAAGGTTGTAAACTAAAAAGGAACCAATGGCAAACTAATGTACACAAGGGGTACACGGGGGTGGGATGCGGTGTCGGTGGTGGTGGCGGAGGGAGGATGGACTTTGGAAAGTGAGTTGTTAATCGGTCAAGAGCTGACTGGAAGACGCTAGCAAGCGTCACAAGACATAAGTGATTTAGTTAAGCTTCATGCTCATTCAGGTGTAGCCACGGCACCGAGAAGGCTGGGGAATGGCAGGCGTATTGACATTTGCAGCGATCGCGAGGTGTGGTGTATGTGCGAGGTAGCAACGCTATTTGCTATGATCTTATAATACTCTATGCTGCAGCGAAACTCCATTGGTAGATGAACATGGAGAGTGCTGAGAATGACCTGTCTATCACCAGCACGTTGGCATGCTTTCAAGGGAAGATCAAGGAAGCCATTGCATTAGTTCAGTCCATGTCCACTGAAGACAAACTAAAGGCTGTCCAGTACTGGAATGTTGTATCTGAAAATCTGCAAGATGTTGTGAACAGCTCAGCAGATGACATTACTGCTCTTGCATCACAACTGTCTGAGCGGGAGAACTTGATTGCACAAGAGCAGTTCAAGCTTTGTAGCAGCCATCTTCCCCAGTATCAAAGACCCATTCTGCAACACACCTCAACATACCACTCCAATTCAGTAAGCCATTCTCACCATCCTCGACACACAAGATCTCAAGGAGTCAAAGTTTTTCAGCAGAACCAGGATGATGCCAACCACACCGCTTTGTTTGATTTGGAGCAGAAGCAGGCTGATATGAATGCCATTGGAACAGATTTGCTTGATCATTATCTTGTCAGTCAGCCAACTATGACTGCTGCGAGTGATGGACAGCATTCCCTATCTGTGGTGGTTGATCCCAGTAACACATTTACCTCTGGGTTAGGACTTCGGGGTGCTGTACCAATACCATCAGGGAGCCCAACCATGACTGTGAACACCCTAGCTATTGAAGAGACCTTGGATGTACAAAGAGGTGATCATGTTGATGGAGATGATCCATTGCCATTGCCAGAGGTACCATTCACTGCAGAAGAAAGTGAAGGATTTGGTGTGGATGATATAGAAATACCTGTTCCTCCAGCACTGGGGAACAATGTGTCAAACAATGTTGGGCCAGTTGCAGAGGATGAGAATGTTGCAGGAAGCTCAGTTGATCTCCGCAAATATCTAACTATTGCCAAAAACAAAAGAGGTGCTGCAGTCCTTAACTTCTTCACAAAGCAGGCAAGAGATCCTGAAGCAAAGGGTAGTGATTGCCATGTGTATTGCTGCAATGTTTGCCAGAAAAGCTACCCAAGCATTGGATCTTTTTACTACCACTTTGCAATTCACAGTAGATCATTTGCTTGCCAGAAGTGTGGTGAATCATGTCACTCCAGGGCACACCTCCGCACCCACATGCAGTGTCATGGTGTACCATGCCAAAACAAGTGCAAGGAGTGTGGCAGGGAATTCACGACGTTCAGCAATCTGAATCGCCATATGAAGACACACACTGATGACCGCCCATTTGAGTGCACTGTGTGCAACAAACGTTTCCGCGAGAAGAAGTCCCTGCAGATCCACGGGCGGGTGCATTCCGGCGAGCGGCCGTACCAGTGCGACATCTGCGCGTCACGTTTCGTGCAGCTGGGCGCGCTGAACGCGCATCGCGAGACGCACGCCGACATCAGGCGCCACCTCTGCGACTTGTGCGGCAAGAGCTTCCGGCAGAAGGTGCAGCTGAAGATGCACACGCTGCGGCACGAGGGAAAGAAGGGCTTTCAGTGCGAGAAGTGTCCGATGGCGTTCAACGTGCTGAATGATCTGAAGCGGCACCGTCGCAGCCACATGCAAGACAAGCCTTTCAAGTGCGACGAGTGCGGCAAGTCATTTCCGCGACAGCAGGCGCTGACTGAGCACTTGAACCGCCACTATGGCAACAGACCCTACCAGTGCCCTTTCTGTACAAAGTCCTACCCAGAAATGTCTGCGTGCAAAAAGCACATCAAGACCCACGAAGGGTCCAAGCCTTCCGGCTCTTCGCAGACTTCTACCGGTGAGTCAGCAGTGGCATTGCCAGCTGCGACCAGTCGGTGAAATGCGATTGTTTTGCTGAAGTTTGTTGTTGTGTTTGCTCGTGAAATATATGTATTTACATTGCGAGATTGCATTCCTTGCCATGTCTGAAGGAACGCACGCAAAATTCGTGTGGTTGGCAGTTTTTTATGCGTGCCGCGAAAGAGAGAAATTACGAACCACCAAACGTGAAAGCATTCCAGAGGAGAATAACCCAGTATTAACGATATTACACTGCGCTAAAAATGTATGTGCTTGTCATGTTGTGTGACGAGCGATGTAGCGATAACAGTGGCGAGCCGTGTGGTATTCCGAGGCCGAAACCAGCCGCGGCAACCACCGTGGGCTCAGCAATCTGACCCCCGCTAATGGTGTCTTCCCAACCGGGAATGGCCCGGTACTGGGGAATGACGCAGGGATGGTGACGTGCTTGTGCTGACTGGCGCCATTTGTGGTTAGGACCTCTCCGTATTGTCCGATACTCGTGGGTATAATCCCTCCGCATTGTCCGGTATTTGTGAGCGGTGTTCGGGTCCCCTTCACGTTTTCCGATACAGTTGGCAGCTTTTTGCATTGCCAGATGCTCGTGGTTATGGTCCCTCTGTACTGCCTGATGCAGGTAGTTAGGATGTCTCGCGTCGTTTGATGCTCGTGGCTAGCATCTCTCTACATGTGGGTAGGATCCCTCCGCACTGTCTAATGCTCGTGGGTATAATCCCTCCGCGATGTCTGATACTTGTGGTTAGTTTCCCTCTGCGCTGTCTGGTGCTCGTGGGTAGGATCCCTCCGCACTGTCCAATGCCCGTGGGTAGGATCCTTCCGCAATGTCTGATACTCGTGGTTAGCCTCGCTCCACGCTCTCTTTATTCACCATGTAGGCCCCTGCACATATGACAGAAGTCTGCGAGTCATGACGGAGCTCTGTATTAAAGCGATGCAATTGCTACACAAGCACGTAGCAAAGCGGTAACCTCGTAGAGGACGATAACACGTCGTAAGCATGGTACGGATTGGCTCAAATCTACATCCTTGTAAAGCGAAGAGTTCGTCACAGGTCCTCCTCCAAGTACGGCCCAACAGCCAAACCGGTCGACGTGGCAGACACAGGGGTACCCAAGAATTATGTGCTATGTGTACATACGTAAGCGTACTGATGTGCTGATGGCTATGAAAGGCACACTAGTGTTGCGCCGCGAATATTGTACGGCATTAAAATTGAAGGGAATGTTGAGTGAAGTGCATTACTAATCTTTTCTGTCTGGAATGGGCTCCAACCCGTTAAAAACAAGATCGGGTACCATGTGCGGCGCTGTGCTGCTGCACGGTCAGGGAATGTTATCTGTGCATACCTGTAGAGTTTCGCCATTAGCAACAAATCATATTGCCTGTCATCACGGCGTTGCCGTCGATTTTTCGAACCTAAAACCACAATACCACTAAACCGCAACAGCGGATATAAACCGGCAAGCGTGCCCGAAATGCAACACAGCATTTAGAGCTAAACCAAGCACGTTGTCATGGACGAAAAGCAGCTAATGAGTCGTTACAACTAAAAACGCTTTTATGGCGTCTCTTCTACGCCGGCACAACTTATGAGAATGCTAAGTTGTCGCGGCATAATTCCGTGCAACAGACCGGAACTGACTAGCTCTGGTAGGCACACGCATAAATATGGTCCACATAGTACTGCACACGCATAAATATGGTCCACATAGTACTGCACACGCCTACATAATTACAACAGACACTAGCATAATGATGAGCCAATGTCAGTAAACCGTAGCCCCACTCCTTCGTCCATGGTGCAGTATGAACACGATCGCTTCTGAATGAAGGCACGGACGGTGATAGGTAGCAGGACCAGGCGTCGCCCGCCCAGCAGCGCCGTCTTCACTCCTGCCGAGACCGCATCAGAAGGCCCGCGGAGCGCTGCCAGTCCGGGCCGTCCCGCCGGCGGCTGGCTGCCCAGGCGGGACCGCCGCCCGGCCGGCCGCGTGGCGTCGGACCGCACGGCTAGAGGGGTCCCTCCCGGCCGTCAGCTGGAGGAGCCACGCCCACAGCTTCGTCGTCCGACCTGAGCACACCAACGCTTCACGTCGATCTGGGTTGTCAGCAGTGCTAATCAATAGCCAACAATGACAAATGCCCATTCAACGTGTTTGCCCGCACTATAGCACACCATTCAGCAACTCACCGCCACGGCATGTTTCATAGTTCAATTTTACAGCCATATCGCAACCCAGTTTCTTAATGGTTACTGGAGAATGTCTGTCATTTGGACTTTACGACGCACTTAGCTGCTGAGGCTATATGGCGTCGCCTGCCTCTCACCCTGGCAGGAAGGGCTGGCACCGCGGGAAATCGAACCCCGCACCTCTTGTTTTCCAGACGCGCAGCGTAACCGCTATGCTACCGGCACCCCGGTTAATGGAGAAGTATCAACACCTAAGTAAATGCACTTTACGACCAAAATGTTAGACTCTGACGACCACCTTGTTACCTTGGTGCCGTTTCGTTCCCGGAACATAGTCACAGAAAACACCCGCCACCCGTCGCCGCTCCCACCCATCCGGCCATATTACACATCACTCCCGTCCCCCCTCCCCCCTGCCTCCGGCCGTCGCTCCGGCCCAGTCGTACCGGTGGTCGCCGACGGCGTCCTGCATGGTCTCCGGTAGCGGCATGCCGAGCGTCTCGGGCAGGCAGAGCGTGCACAGGCCGGACACGATCACCACGCCGCCGATCACCAGCAGCGGGATGCTCTCGCCGTAGATGGCCTGGCGAGCCGCGGTCAGCGCCGGTCGGTCAGACGCCCAGGGAGCGTGGCGGCTCACACACACACGGGACGCGCCGCCGCCGATGAGGTCGCAGCGTGGACGCGGGGCACGTGGCTCCAGTAACCGCCCAGCCGCCAGGACAGCAGTGTGACAACCGGCATCGCCAGTACAGAACACACCGTACGGGCTGCGACTACATGCGAGACACAGCAGCTAAACTAGGACCGGCGCCTGCCCACCACGGATGCGTGCGCCTGCGCTCGGCGGCACGGCCGCAGCCCCGGCCGTCTCACCGGCACAGGTGGAACAGCGCCCGCTGGCCGGCGTCCGCGCACTCACCAGCACGGCCAGCTGCGGCGCCAGCATGGCCGCCACCCGGCCCGTCATCGAGCACACGCCGACGGCCGTGTTGCGCGCCGACGTGGGGAACAGCTCGGACGTGTAGATGTAGATGACGGCGAACGCGCCGGCGGCACCGCTCTTGCCCAGCATCAGCATCACGGCGTTCGGGATCGGCATCGCTGCGGCCCGGGCGGCGGTCACCGGGTTGTTCCGGCAGGAGGGAGAGGGGGGGGGGGGGAGGCGCCGCTGCGGCCACGTCATGGACGGTGGCCTTCGGACGCCGCTATCGCGCGGAGACCGCGTCCAAGACGTCAACAGCACAGCTCGCGAAATAATGAGTAACCCGTGGGCGACCACTACTGCCCGGGTAGCCAATACCAATCAGCTAAATGGTCCGCAGCTCCGGCGTTGACCATTCGCATAACTGGGGATGACAACGACGGCGCCCACACACAATGGGGGATGACACCGACGGATACCACTCACATTTGGGGATGACACCGGCGGAGACCACTCACAACTGGGGATGACACCGGCGGAGACCACTCACAATTGGGGATGATACCGGCGGAGACCACTCACATTTGGGGATGACGCCGACGGATACCACTCACAATTGGGGATGACACCGGCGGAGACCACTCACAATTGGGGATGACGCCGGCGGAGACCACTCACAATTGGGGATGACGCCGACGGATACCACTCACATTTGGGGATGACGCCGACGGATACCACTCACATTTGGGGATGACGCCGACGGATACCACTCACAATTGGGGATGACACCGACGGAGACCACTCACAATGGGGGATGACACCGGCGGGGCCACTCACAGCTGGGGATGAGTCCGGCAGGGACCACTCACAGTTGGGGATGCGTCCAATGGGGACCACTCACAGTTGGGGACGAGTCCGACAGAGACCACCCACAGATGAAGATGAGTATTGAGGTCACTCATAGTTGAGTCCGTCGGAGACCACTCACAGTTGGAAATCGGTCCATCTGGATCGCCCATATTTGGGGATGAGTTAGACAGGGATCGCTGACAGTTGGGGACGAGTCAGGCGGGAGCCACTCACAGTTGGGAATGAGTCCTGCGGTGATGAGCGACACGCCGCACAGCACGTTGGCCGAGACGAATGTGGCGCGCCGGCCCAGCCGGTCCATGCCTACCCAGCAGAACGTGTAACCTGGTGGCAGACAGACAGATGGGCAGTCACAGTCCGGCCAGAGGGTCCTGTACATCTAACGACCACTAGGCTGCTATACCGAACCACGCCAGGCCCAACAGTGGCAAGACCCGGTAGAGTTGCAGATATATTCCCACGACGTTGTCCAGACAGCGCAGTGGTGATACCGGTCGTCAAACGCAGGTGAGAACATGGGACGCACGGCGGGTTACACTGCGCACCTCTGATGAGATCGGCACCACAATAAAGGCGAAAGCTGTTCTTCCACGAGTGCCATCACGCACAACCATTGCTGACATGGACTTTGCCGCACTTTCTGCAATAATCGACATAAGCAAAACACAATGTGCACTGGGTCAGCAGCGGTATGCGTGGACAACCACTAAAAGTGTATGCTGCAAGACACCTCATTGGCATCCAAAACGGACGGGCAGCGTCTGTTTTTTGGTGAGATTACAATGCACGGATGTGTAACGAACCTGGCATCTCCGCAATGGTGGTGACGAAGAAGTTGGTGAAGAAGTCGCCGGGCAGATTCGGCAGATCAATCACCATGCCATAAAAGGCGAAGTTCACCGCAAACCTGGCACGTATGGAGGCGGGCCGTCAATGAATAAAGTCAGCTTCTACCATGAATATAGAACATATGCTAACAGCCCCTGACAAAGATTAAAGGGCAATGGCGTTCTGCTAAAATGAACATCATCCTCGTCGCGTTTAGAAATATCAGCTAGACACTGGCAACAGCTTTTCGCGGGCCCCGCATCATGCGGAGCTACCCGCACGGGGTGTCCTGCACATCACCTAGTGGGCACATGTCTACTTTCCAGCACCAACGGAGATCCACCAGAGCGCACCGGCCGAATCAAGACGGACAGCGGCGACTTCCACTACGAGGCTGAC